TTTATAAAAGGCATGTAACCAACCTTGTTCACGTCTAGCCTTGTCTCTTCAACCGTACAGGCAAGGGAAGATGTGATAGAAGCATACTTTCGATGGTCGTGGCGACAATGTAGAGACTGTTGAGGAGGGCGAAGGTGCAGAGTATAAGGTGCGCGGTGGAACCGAAGCGACCACAAATGACGTGCAGGAAGGTCCGCGCACCGGGCGTGATCATGCGCCAGCGGACTAGCGGAATCACAAACAACACCGTTAGCATGGTGCCCGCAAATGCGTAGCATATGTGGCCGGAAATGCCCAACTGAAAAGTGCCATTCATAGCCAGGTTAGTGCTGTACCGTTTTGCCTTTCCATTTGCAAAACATGCCTATCGTCTTCAGACCCTACCAGCTGAGTGATGAGGTAGTCAAGCCATTTACCACACTTCCGTTAGCAACAATAACCCACGCTTTTATGCTTCAGTGGACTGTCTACAAACGGAAAGTACGCTAGATTCATGTAAAGAAGTAGGATTGAGCAATGATGTGGAAAATATACTGCCTGTCCGCAAATTCTAATTGAGTACATTTAACTTTTTGATTCAAAGGCTTCGGACTACTTGATGAGACACTCGCAAAGAAGTGCAGAGGTTCAGTCTCCATTGACGGTATGTTAGCTTAATGTTTTGGCATCAATGGAAGTATTTTTGTAGATTAGCTGCAGCATGTCTATTAAAGTGCCATTGACGTAGTCTATTCAGCAGGTAAAACTGGATTGCATTTAGATCCTGCAGGTCTCGAGTGCGTTATTGCCCTACCTATTGCAAAATACCAACCCTCGGAAGAATAGGGTCTGTTAGTTTACAAAAGAAGAGCCATGCATACCAGGGTTCCAAAAGTCGTGCTTTTGGACAGGCTGGCCGTCCAAATGGACTGTCTCGAAAAGGCGCATAGGAAAAGGTCTAGACGCGCCTTTGTGCTAGACTTTGGTACTGGTCCCACTATCTAAGGGGTATTATAACAAGAACGTTGTTTGTAGAATCAAAAAGCCAAAATCTTGAGGGATTTGGACCAGAAGGGTTTGCTAACATCTTTTCCTTTCTGGTTAGACCAAAACCATTTCTGGAGCTTTAACATCAATTCCACAGTGTGTAAGGGAATATGCAAAACGTTGTGTGCAAAGACGTGGTTTAGTGGAGCAGATTTTCAGGCAAAGTGAATGCTGATGTCTAGCACACCCAGCGGGCGCCTTAAATAATGATTAAAGTGATGATGCACACATGAGCTGACCGCAATCCTAGGTTATATAAATAAATCAAGTGTCAATAAAATCATCAAAGCAGTAAAAGGTGTGATCTTGG